AGCTAAAAGCTTCTCCGTGATCATGCGGAAAGAAAACATTTGATCCGTGCATCCTCTTCCAGGTCTAAATCCGCATTGTGCCTCCCATAGAAATCTTTCCGATTTCTCTTGCATCCTACGTGTCAAAACCTTCGAGTAAACTTTACTTGCTAAACTGGTCAAGCTGATCGCCCGATAGCACCAGCAGTCAAAATGTGAACCTTTACCTTTATATAAAGGCACAATGACTGCGGATCGCCAATCATCCGGGACATCCCCCGTCCGCCAGCACAAATTGCACAGCAAATGAAAACTGTCCCAGACGCGAGGCCCACCATACTTGACCATTTCAGCAGTAACTCTGTCTGGTCCCATAGCCTTACCACATTTCAAACTTCGAATCGCACGTTCAATCTCTTTCATACTGATGACCTCAGTGTCATCGAGGTCCGGGTCTGGCGTACCAGTCCTCTTTCCAGAAGAGTTTGGAGTTCTCCTTAAAGTTGTGCGACAATCTTTCGTCCGCTTCTATTCTACACCTTTCACGCACTTCCTCAATCAGTGTTTTCGTATGAACTTTCTGCAGCTTATATCTTTCTTTCATCTTCTCTCTCATATCCTTATCATTACTAGAGGCCAAGTAGTCTAACCATGCTTTCTTCTTCTTCTTTACAGCTTCTTTCCCTTCATCATTCCACCATGCATCTCTTCCTTTACGACTACCTCTTTTTATCGTTCCTCACACTTCTTCTGCTGCACTTATCATTCCATCCCTAAGGTTCTGCCATGTCCTTTCCACACATTCTTTTCTGCCATCGATGGTGTCAAGCTTTTTGGCTACCCTCGCATGATATTTTTCCCTAGTATCCGCTTCCTGACGCTTCCAGCTTCGGATGAGACAGACCGACTGTGGTTCTGTCACTGCCGTCCGGTAGCGCTAACCCGCGAACAGACCCCTAAATCTAGTAATCCCTAGATAGTGATCCGTTCCCAGCTCAGCACCCCTGAGCACTCGCGTATCCATCACCTGTTTTCGCAGTCGGTCATCCACCAGGAACATATCAATCATACTTCTCTAATTCTTTCTTTCTCTAGTATACATATGGATTTTCTTGTGATTAAACATAGTGTTTATCACAAGAAGACCCTTTTCCTTGCATACCGCCAGTATAAGCTTGCCAGCATCATTAACCCTTTTATCACCAAACTTTCCAAGCACCGACTCGTACCCTGGTCGAGCGGTACTAACCCATCCATTCAAATCACCACATACAACAATTCTTTCGTTTCCCCTAACTAAATCTAGAACTTCTCTTACATTCTCCTAAAACTCCTCCAGCTCAGCCCTGGACGACGAAGCTACCGGCGCATAAACAGCCAAAAGGAATAACTTCGTCAGTCCCAATTTAAAGCGAACCCACAGAAGACTTGAGTTCACAACCTTATATCCAGTCATAACATCGACCAATCGAGACGACAGCAGCACCTCCACTCCCTGGCAGGCGCTCTCGCTCTCCGGGACTCCGGACCATAGAGCTAACGTCCCGCCAGGGAGCTCTTCAGTACCACTGCCCTTCCGTTTGGTCTCCGACATACACACGACATCTAATTCTCTTTCTATCATTATTTCGATCAGCTCATTCGTCTTATCTCTCATGCCTCCTCTAGCATTCCACGTGCCAACTCTACACTCTGTTCTCAACCTTCCGCCGTGTTGAGCTGTGCGTGACGGGTGGCGGTCCCCATCGCCGCTTTGCACGCTGCATTTCACACCAACGGGGACGAGCTGGTGTGTGTCGCCTTGGGGGGACGCCCTAATCCTCGTTGGCATGGGTGCGCAGCTGTGTAGAATTGCAGCCCTGAAAGGGGCTGGCAGGGGTCGCGACGAGCACGCTTCTACAATGATCCCCATCTTATCGACCCCATCTGTCTTTAAATAAAACACAATTTTAATTTATTTTGCACATTTAACGATTATTAGATCAAGAAATATCTAAAAATCTAAATTTCGTGCGTGTACTCCGATTAAACACGACGATAGTGGTTGAAGTTGTATTGAGATGTTGAAGTTTGATGTGACGGCTGCTAGTGTGTGATCTTTTGGCCTCTGCAAATAAATATAATGAAAAATTGAAGACGTTTATAGGATAAAACAAAAATTAAGTAACTGAATAAAATTTGACTAAAAAAATTTTTTTTTTCGTTGTCTTCCTTCACAGACACTGGAGATAATCTTAATAATAAGCGAGTTTGTCAGCGTATGCGTTAAAAATAAATAATAAACTCGTAAAAGTGACCGAAACATTGTAAAACGTTTTCCCAAGTATAACAACAAAATAGCGTTTAATATTTGATTGTATGTGTCGTACAATCAAATTGTATTTTTGAGCTTGTGCACACGGTGTGATGAGACTACAATCAAATTGTATTTCTGAACATGTATGTGCACAAGGTGTGATGAAACTACATTTAAATAGTATTTCTGAGCATATACACACGGTGTGATTAAACTACAATCAAATTGTATTCCTGAGTATGTGAAACTACAATCAAACTGTTGTATGATGAAACTACAGTCAAAAAGAGTATTTCTGAACACGTGCATCCAGTGTGATGAAACTACGATGAAATTTGTGAGCATGTGCACCCAGTGTGATGAAACAACAATCAAATAGTGTTTCTGAGCATGTACACCCGGTATGACGGTAAATGCAATAGTTACCTTACTTTTTTTTGCCTGAGAGTCTATCCACCTTATTTATTTCTGCCAACAAATAGCAGTGCTTGAACTGCTGTGTTTCGGTGTGAAGAGTATAGAGTGCCAGTAGAATTATTATTGGTAGTGAGGAATTCCACCTTAGCCCTCAGAGGCAACAACTTATCCGTAGCCTTCTTTGTTTAAAGTTGGCTGCAGATGTCCATGAACTGCAGTAACCACTTACCATCAGGTGGACTGTGGGTGTGCTTATCGCTTAAGTTTTATAAAAAAATTGGATTAAAAGAGATTTACTATATATAGAAATACTTTACCGAAAACGAGGCATACATATTAGGGTTCATTGGTGACAACACATCTATATTCTCTATAGATAACAATAGATGTAGGTACTCGTATTTATGAAGAATAGTATTATCCTTACAATTAGGAGGCATTAGTACTCGTTTTTTACCCGTACCTACTTAAACAAAAATCCTTTTAGGTAATAACTAACAAAAACATTAAATTGATTTCCAGTAGAAACATCAAACATCTAACCAAACCAAAATATCAATTACGTTTACATGTTAATGTAATTTGAATTTCGAACAGTGACATCGGCATGCTATTCATGCCTCGTTTTAACTAATTGTGCCTGACACAACAAATATGTTTAATGAAAATTTATTACCCGGTAGTCTTTGAATCCACGGGTATTAGCGTTATATGCGCCGCAATTCTCATTAATTACCTTATGTCCAAACATATTTATTCAAGAGTGATTGGTAACTTTAACTAAGTGTAAAATGGAATTATTTTTATGCAATTATAGCTATTACCCGGCGCGTTGCTGCCGCAGAAGAAATAATTATGGAAATATCGTTTTGGGGGACGAAGCTGCTCGCGTTCGTGGAAAATACTTGAAATCTGACACCCTACACCTGTCCCCCGGGTAGTGCTAAACGAGCAGCACCAATTTCGGTGGTAGGTTTCGGCCGCTGGTTTTTCGGTTACCACCCACCAATGCAAAGTCTTGCCGCCAAATGACGTTGTCGTGTTCAGGCATGATTCTTGGTAAAGCTATATGTAGAATGGGTTTGAATAGTAGCGTTGTGTATGTAAACCGGGTACGAAGCGTCAGATGTTGCTGTGTCGGGTGCTTGGTCCCGCCGGCCGACCGCATGTAGTTGGGGTCCAATTAGTGAATTAGCTACTCATGAAAGGCTGCCCGCCAACTGGCGAAAAATCCCAGGGTGGCCCCATCGTGCCGTTTAGCGGCTGGGCGAGAGGACCCGATAGAAATCTCTGGGGGGGTTCGGGCGTCCCCGCAGTCTCCAGATCAAGCTCTCATGGGCACAGTAACTCTGATAGTATCGTTTGGTTGCTAATGCAACGCCTCGTTCAACTGCCATTCTCCATCCTTATTCCACTCTCAACGCTTAATATGCGCATTAATAAGAAAAGTAGTGTTAAACAGCAATTGCACGTTCTCTCATTAAAAGTGCACCTCACTAATATTCGAGGATTGCACTCCAAATGCATCTCAGTCTATCACCATCTTAAAGACTGAGAAGCCGCACCTACTTTTCTTGACGGAGACGCAAATTGGATGTCCATTGAATACGGCGTACCTTGACTATCCTGGATTCTCCCTGGAGCACAAATTCCATCCACATACCAGAGTGTGTGTGTACGTCCGCAATGATATCTGTTTCCAGCATCTCTGTCACCTTAAAGACCCTACTTTTTCGACAATCTGTGTGATGGTAGATACAGGTATTGATAAAATCCTTTATGCCTGTGTCTATTGACCGCACAGCGGTGACCAGGAGACAATACGATTATTCGATCACCTTAGTGAGGCTGCTTACGTGGCTCTAAATCGGTATCATCCTGCACAGTTGGTTGTTCTGGGGGACTTTAACGCTTGTTACCAAGACTGGCTGTCCCAATACGAGAAGACCGACCATTCTGGAAGAGAAGCGTGGAATTTTGCTTTGACGCTAGGTTTTTCTGAGTTGGTAAAGGTGGCGACTATGGTACCCTATGTAGACGGTCACACAGCAAATTGCTTGGACCTTCTGCTGACTACCGAAACAGACAGATACGAAGTATAGGTTACCTCTCTTTTGGGTACATCTAACCACTGTCTGGTGAAATCTGTATTGTTATATTCTCCAACTGATTACGAGTCCCAAGGTTTTCGACGAATAAGGTGGTATAAATCAGCTGATTGGGATGAGATGCGACACTTTTTTGCCTCTTATCCTTGGCGGGAGGTCTGTTTCTCTTCTGCGGATCCGTCGAGTTGTTTCGACAAGCGATGGAGTACTATATTCCCTTCTCTGACGCTCCAACAGTTAGCAAAGCTCGCCTATGGTTTAACGTTGAATGCACCCAAGCTGATAAACGTAAGCATTTAGCGTACCTATCCTGGGTTGACGCTCGAAACCGCAAAGCTCCGGATATTAGTTCCAAAAAGAGAACTTTCAACCAGACCGCCAAGTCTTACAAAAAACCATAATGGAAAGCTAGTCCCGATCGCATTAAACATATTAGCGCAAAACTCTCAGTCAGAACATCTGGCACTAGAACTTTTTGGTCTCTCGCTGAAGTGGTCGAGACAAACTTCTGTCGGCCTACACTGCCTATGCTGGTAAAACCGGATGGCACACTGGCACATAGGGCTAAAGATAAAGCGAACCTGTTCGCGTCTCTTTTTGCCCACAATTCACGTCTGGACAGTGGCAACAACGTTCCGCCAAAATTACCTCACTGCGGGACCTCTATATCGGAGGTTCGTAAAACAAATAAAGAGGTTCTTAAAACCTTTCGGTAACTAGAGTATCGAATAAAGCTAGTGGACCAGATGTTATACCAGCTATAGTTCTAAAGATTTGTGTACCAGAGTTGTCTCCTGTGCTGACATGCTTGTTCCACCTCTCATTTAGGACTGGAATAGTGCCAAAATCCTAGAAGCTGGCCAACGTGCAGCATTTTGCACAAAAAGGCAGCCGTGAAACCCTGCCAAATATCGGCCAATCTCAATTACCTCCATACTCTTCAAGATTATGAAGCGTATATTGGACGCTCGTTTAATGGCATACCTAGAAGAAAATAATCTCCTTAGTGACCGGCAATATGAGTTTCGCCGAAATCGGTCAGCTGGGGACCTTCTAGCGTATGCCACACACATATGGGGCGAGGCACTCGAGAACAGTGGGCAAGCACTTGCTGTTTCCCTTGATGTCTCGAAGGCCTCTGACGGAGTTTGGCACACTAGCCTTTTGGGTAATCTTCCAGCGTACGGCCTATTCCCTGGTCTGATTGAATGGGTAAAGAACTTTCTGAGTGAACGGCCTCTCCGGGTCGTCGTCGATGGCTGCTCATCCGATCCTATGGCGACTAACGCCGGTGTTCCTCAAGGGTCCATTCTCTCCGCACCTCTATGGTAATGCAGACGATAACACAGTTTTAGAGAGATACCAACCAAGTCCTCGGTCCAGTCAGGATCAAATCCAGTCCGAAAGAGAAGCTATGGTAAAGCGTATGAATCTCATACTACAGGTAGTCTCCGTATGGGAGGCCATCTTGTGAGACAGCTCACCTTGGCTCCTTCTTTCTAAAATGTATCACTGGAATATACCGACCGCCTTCAGTTGTTAGGGTTTGAGATATCCTCAAATCTGAACTTGGGGGGGGGGGGGTTATTGAGTCCAAGGCCAAAGCAGTTACAAGGAAGCTGAGAGCCCTTGCAAAGGTGCGGCGATACTTCACGCCGGGACATCTGCTTAATTTATATAAAGCGCAAGTTCGATCGTGCATGGAGTATTGCTGCCATAAATGGGCTGGTGCTGCAAAATGCCACCTAGCAGCTTTGGACTCAATCGAAAGGCGTGCTAAGAGGCTTATTAGTGACACGAATTTGGTTAAAATCAATTTTACCAGCCTTGAATACAGACGCAAAGTAGCCAGCATTTCGGTTTTCTACAGGATGCATTTCTGAGAGTGTGTGCTGGAATTGCATAATTTAATTCCTCCATCTCCCTGCCACCATCGGACAACCAGACGTTCAGCCAGTCTCCACCCTTTCGTTTTTGACTTAACACGCATTCGAACCCAACGGTCCGCCGCGTCATTCATCATGCATACAGCAAAGGAGTGGAATAAGCTGTAATCGGATGGAAAGCATCTGTCTTTCCATCCGATTACGGTGTGGGTGTCTTCAAGGCAAGAGTGAATAGGCTTTTGTTAAGTCTTAGGCTACATCACCACTTACCATCAGGTGAGATCCTACGATCTCACCTGATGGTTTAAGCCAGCGTTTATCTACATAAACGCTTGCTTAGTAGAATGTAAAAAAATTAAAGAGTTATGTTGTTTAATTTTTTTTATATGATAAGGGTGACAAACGAGCACACAGTCTACCTGATGGTAAGTGGTTACTGCGGCCCATCGACATCTACATCTATTACAAATCAAAATGTAGATGCGTTGTCACCCGTGAGGACTAATATAGAATGCCTCATTTCCAGTAAACAGGGCCTCCGGCCACCTGCACACTCCAAGCGAAACGCAGAGGTAAACCTCTACTTCACGCTGGTTTTCTGTGAAGTCGTGGTACCAGCCCGGTTCGAGCCGTCCATCCGTGCGACAGCAAAAGCTGCCGCGTGACTCTACCACTGTTAAAATTTGGAATGATAATATATTCATTTAAGTTTAATGATATGTAACTCTCAAATAAATTTATCGGTACGACACATACATGTTGTTACATAAACAACTACTCAAAACAAATTAGCTATGTAGCAAAATAACTTGGTATCGATAAACTCATTCCCAGGGGTTATTATATATCTATAAATGCCTTCAAATGATAAAAACTATTTTTTATACAATATTATAAAATAGTAATAAATATTTAAAAAAAAACCTCTGTCATGAAAAGAACTAGCAAGGAAATTGTCGGGAATATTTCCCCACAGTAATGTTATACAAACAGCTTGGAATCGTTATTATCACCAATGTTATCATTGATTACGATAACATATTTCTTTATATACTCTTATTTTATCATAATAATGCTTTTTATAAAGTATTTGTTATCATAAGCTTAAAGCTAATAGCTTCTTATAGTCTTTGTTGTAATAGAGAACCGTTTATATTTTCGGCGACTTTGTTGTAATGGCGTATGCCGTAAGCGTATGAATGAATTACTGATCCTGGGGAGTCGAGTAGCACACGTTTACATGAAATATATGACGTATTTTTTGAGATATTCAAAACTGATTAAATAAAATAAAACTATTTTCAAATAACATTAATGTTAGGTATTTTGTACATCATCATCAATACAGCATCCCTAGCCCACCATCAGTAGTTTGATCTGTCAAAGGCGTCCCCCAAGGAAAGCCGCAAGGCACGGCAGTATTATAAACCGTGTAGTGGCAGTGTAAGAACATCCACTACCTCATATCGTCCCATGGGTATCGTAATAGATGAAAGAGGGAAATAAACCAAGAGATGGGCAACAACGTGTTCCTAATAATAGATTACAAACAAAGACTGCGGAAGGCAACGCGCCTCCTAAGCGTGGCAACTATGACAACTATAGCAATATGTATGTCAAGTATATGAGTCAATCTATGGTAGAGGCGTATATTCAGTAGTGGACTTTTGATAGGATGTAATGGTAAGTAGGACATATTTTATTAATGTTAATAGATGAATTAATGTTAAATTTATCTAAAAATGGAAGCAAATTAACAAGTCTAAAATATTTTTTACATATATTTTGACATGGTATGTATATTGAATAATCCCATGAAGCTAATCACTTCATTTAGCTTACATGTCATAATTTACGACATGAGACAAGTGCTCCAGTCTAAAGTGCAATAAATACGAGAGACAATTTAATATAGAGACGTTCGTACTTGCTAGTAACATTGAATAATGGTAATTGTAAACCGGGCCTTTATGGAAATTGCGAAAACAGTTTACGAGAAACATCAATGACGGAAAATGAATAAAAACATAAGTTGAATATAAAAATGAATTATAACTTTCAATAAAAGGGAAAAACTAATTTCGAAGAATACATTAAATTATAATTAAAAAAAACACGCGTTTGGATAACTACAGCGAGGGATAGCCGTCTACGGCACCCTCAGGAGGTCCACTCATACCAAGGCGGGACACTCGTGGTGTGGGCAGGAATTTGCCTCGGCGAACAAACCCAGCTTGTTTAGATCCAAGGCAGCATAACTGCGCTAAAATACTAGGAGAAGGTAGTAGAGCCTGTTATTGTCCCACACAGAATCCAAATGAGCCAGGAATTTCTGCTCATGCACGATAATATTCTATCTCATACGGCGTGGCTGGTATCGGCCGCTCTCCGAGACCACGATATTCAAGTTTTTGATTGGCCTTCACAGTCATCCGACCTGAATCCTATCGAGCATATTTGGAACATGTTATAACGAAAAGATTTGACAGATTTTCCGCCAAATTGACGACGGAACAACAACTAAACGAACACTTCCAAAGAACATGGGATCTCATACCGCAGCAAGACATTGACAATTTAATTTTAAGTATGAACAATCGATGTCAATGTGTACTTAATGTAAGAGGTGGCAACACTTATTACTAATAATTAGATTTTATAAGATTTTTTCAATTTTAATTATATTTAATAATTTTATAAGAAGAAATGAAGCTTTTTTTATCATACAAATTTTATAAGGCGATTAATAAAATTAGCACTTCCAATTATTATTTTTTTATAGGAGAGGGGGCAAACGAGCATGCGGCTCACCTGATGGTAAGTGACTACCGCCGCCCATGAACAAACGCAACACCAGGGAAGGAATTGCAGATGCGTTGCCGGCCTTTTAAAAAGGAGTAGGCTCTTTTCTTGAAGGTCCTTAAGTCGTATCGGTCCGGAAAAATCGCTGATGGTTATCCATTCCACAAGGAAGTTGTGCGAGGAAGAAAACATCTTCTAAATCGCACAGTGGTGGACCGCCAATCATCCAGATGGTGTGGATGGTATCGGGAGTTCATTCGGTGCCGCGATGTGCGTTCGTGAAATTTGGCGGCTGGGAATAATCCGAACATTTCCTCAGAGCACGCCCCGTGGTAAATGCGAAAGAAAAGGCAAAGAGATGCAACATCTCTTCGCAGTGCCAATGAGTCGAGCCGATCGGAAAGGACTCGGTCGTCGACGATTCGAGCCGCTCTGCGTTGGATGCAGTCAAGTGGAAAAAGCTGACACTAGGGAGCCCCAGCCCAGAGATGGGAACAGTATTCCATGTGAGGCCGAACCTGCGCCTTGCACAGTTGCAGGCGTTGAGCTGGCATGAAATACTGTCCCGCTCTGATGAGCACGCCAAGCTTTTTAGAGGACAATTTGGCCTTCTCTTCGAAGTGACCACGAAACTGCACGTCACTCGATATGTCGACGCCGAGGATTCCGATACTGGCTGAGGCAACAAGGGGAGTACCTTGAAACTGAGGAGATACGACAAAGGGGTTCTTTTTAGCGGTATACGCGCAAATTTGTGTCTTCTGAGGATTAAACTGGACTAGATTTAGTCGCCCCCAATCCGAGACTTTGTCCAGCAAAGACGCGACTTCAGACACAAGTTTGTCCCGGTACTCGGTGACGTTTTCCCGAGAAATATTGGCACGACCGGTATATAGAGCATCACCAGTGCTATCATCCGCATAGCAATGAATGCTACCGGCTTGCAACATAAGATCATTGATATGCTGAAGAAACAGCGTTGGTGATAGCACGCAGCCTTGTGGAACACCAGCGTTAATAGGCTTGTAGTCGGAGCATGCACCGTCTACAACGACCTCGATGCTCCGATCTGCAAGCAAGCTGGTGATCCAATTGCATGATTTCTCGGGAAGCCCATAGGAAGGGAGCTTCGAAAGAAGCGCTTTGTGCCAAACCCGATCGAAGGCCTTCGCAATGTCCAAACTAACGGCCAATGCCTCCCCCTTGAACTCTACTTCCTCCGCCCATCTATGAGTTAAGTAGACCAGGAGATCACCAGCTGATCGACCTCGACGAAAACCGTACTGGCGGTCATTAATCAGCTGGTGATCCTCAAGGTACCGCATGAAGTGGCAGTTTATAACGGATTTCATTATTTTGGAGAACAAGGGGGTAATGGCGATAGGCCCGTAGTTGGACGGGTCTGAGCGGTCGCCTTTTTTAGGGATCGGGTGGACAAAAGCTGTCTTCCATGATTTCGGGACTACGCCTAGGGAGTAGCAGTACCGGAAAAGACGTGTTAGAACCGGTGCCGACTCCGGAGCACACGTCCTCAGCACAATTGGGGGGATTCCGTCACGCCCACTCGACTTGTGGATGTCAAGGGAGAGGAACCTGCGAACCGAGCGCTGTGAAAACCGCACATCCGGCATGGAGCACTCACACCGCGGGATGGTCGGCGGTGTGTTCCCCCCGTCATCAACAGTCGAGTTGGACGCAAAAAGGGAGCCTAAAATGTCGGCTTTCTCTTTTACAGTGAGTCGTCCTCCCTGTGCAGAGATGGTAGTGATGGTTTACAAAAATTCCCTTGGACAGCCTTGGCGAGAGACCAGAATGCACGGGTTCCCGAAGGAAGGCGAACTAGTTTCTCGCCAATTCTGCCTATGTGCTCTGACTTTGCCTTGGCAATAACTCTTTTGAAGGACCTAAGTTATACTTCTTTTTATAAATGCTGGTGTTTACATCCCGAGTCGCCGAAGCCGCAGCCCAGGCTTGATAACACTCCTGCTTACTGCGTAAAGCAGTCTTACAGGAGCGACCAAACCAAGGCTGAGATCTGCCTCCGATGGGTACCACAGATGATGGAATAAATAGTTCCATTCCCTGTAGCACCACATCAGTGACAGAGTCAGCAACAGCGCTGGGATCATCCGGTGAGAAGCAAACCCGCCCCCATGGGTAGGAAGCAAAGAAAGACCGCATTCCGTCGCAATCCGCCGATCTGTAATGCCAAACATTGCGTTCTGCAGGTTGCCGCCGTGTTTGGCATTACAGGTCGGCGGATTAGAACGGACCGCCGCGAGGGGAGCGTGAGTGGCACCACACTCCGGATCAGACAATGATCCGAAGAGCCAAGAGGGGCATCGACGGAAACCTGATATCCGTCCGGATGAGGAGTCAGCAGAAGGTCCAACAGGGAAGGTGTATGATCCTCAACATCTGGAATCCGCGTAGGCGATGTAACCAGTTGTGTCAGACCATATGCCAAGGCAAAGTCATAAACAGATCTCCCCGCATGATCGGTTAAACGTGAAGTGAGCCATTCGGCGTGGTGGGCGTTAAAATCGCCTAGGATCACGATCTCTTCGAATGGGACCTGTTGTACCAAGGAATCTGTAGCCATTCGGACGTGGTCGATGAGTCGGTCTGTTTCGGCATTACCGCTATGGGACCTATAGAGGCACACGTAGACGCGCGGATGGTCGTCGCTGTCTACGCGTAGCCAAAGGATGGACAGGTCCGAACCTTCAAGACTGCCGAGGCGTCGAGAACAGATGTCTTCTCTGACATATACGCAAACTCCAGCCCGAGGCATAAAGGAGTGCTCCAATTTGTACCCCGGGTAGGGGAGGTACGAAGTATCAGCCGGCGAGGACACCTGCGTCTCGGTCAGAAAGAGCAAGTCCAGCTTCGCCGTCTCGAGATGGTAGTGGACGGCATTTAGGTTCGAGTGAAGTCCCCTGATGTTGCAGAAATTCACGGATAGCGTGGCAGGGGTCGCCTTGGTCTTGTTGCTCAGTTTGCCCTGAGCAGTTATTGTGTTGAGCGGAATTTCGCCCTCCCCAGAATACGTGGGGCAGCCTGAGCACCCAGGCTCAGGAGTGGAATAGCATGGTCGTGGATGCTCAGCGAGGGATTCTCCAGGGGTACTGGTACCCTCCTGGGGTAGTTTATGATGTAATTCCGCTACCATGTTGATGGGGGGGGGGGGGGGGGGAATTGGGCCTCCGGTCACCTGCACTCACCAGACGAAACGCGGAAGCAGAGCTTACACTTCACGCCGGTATTCTGTGAGGTCGTGGTACTAACCCGGCTCGAGCCGGCCCATACGTGCAACAGCAAAAGCTGCTGCGTGGCTCTACCACCGTTGCGCAGTCCATTTACTATATCAGGAATTCTTTATATATTTTTAGATATTAGATTTTTGATGAATTATAAAATATCCCTAGATTCTGTTGATGTGTGTATGTGATCAGCTGTAATAATGATGATGATGTTTGATGTTAAGGGATTTTTCTTCTTCTTCATTCTTTTTTTCAGCCAGTAAAAGTCCACGGCTAGTAATGCTTCTCCTAGTAATGCTTCTCCCGTTGCAGTTATAATTTGCCTTAATCGTCACGCTTGGAAGGTTGATCGACGGGCGCAGTGCCATCACCACCATCTCACAGCCTTAACCCTGAACCCATCGTCGGTCCGACGGATATACTGTCTTCTGTAGAAAGTCTAAATATTTTTCTGGAATTTCCCATAGTCGCCTCTTACGATACCCACGGATGTATTCACGCAACGATTATACATAATTGGTAGATTAGTTGACAAAAATAGAACAAAAATATTATCATCATTACATCCCTTCAGGGCTGAACATAGGCCTCCCCCAAGGAATTTGAGGTACAAGGAAGTTGCCACACTTGGCTAGCGAGATGGCAACCGCAGTATTTTTATTGTTATTTTGCTGTTATCACAAATATGCTGATGCCTATCTTCTGCCTCAGTTTCCTTCTGTCGCTTCTTACGACACCCATGGGAAGATATGGTGTAGTGGGTATTCTTGCCCGTCACTACATAGGATAAAAATATATACATATAAAATGTTGTGTTGCAACAGTCGTATACTCATTTTACGACTGTTATTCTGTAGTTGTCCGTAACCACAATATAAAGCTCAGAAACAAATGGTTATGAAAACACTAGTGCATTACGTTTGTTTACCCTACCTCTGTCGTTGTAACTGCGCTTAATATGAGTGGGCTACTTTGTTTATTTAGCCGCGCTTTGCACGTTAAATTAATTATTTTATGCTATGGGGGAGCGCGATTTAATTTAAATGGAGTGAGAGTGTACGTTTACAGGATATCATTTTAGTAACTTTTGAATTAATTTAAAGCAAATGCAATAATTCCAAGGTGTTCTAAAATAGGCACCATATTCCGAGGTATATAGAAAAACTACGTTACCAAGCGATTTACAAGCTCTTTTTTACAGCAAGATCTCTTATTGCATTGATAATAGAACTTTGGTTACTTATATTATCATAGAAGATCTAGAATAATGTATGTATATATTTAAAAGTAATTGGTCAGTTTTGCGTCAGTAGCTGGCGTGAACCCTTCAAACATATCGCACCTTGTGCACCTGAGTACCATGTTTTTTTTAAAATAGTGATTTTTTGGTTATATTTGTACCGTGTGTGTAATTATTTCAGTTAAACTAATTTATGGATTATTATTTTATTCGAAAACACTAATGCTTTATATGTTTTTCTGAATAATTGGAGGTGAAAATACATCTCAAAAATACTGGGACATTAGGTGCAAAATATTTCAGCCGGTTCCTTATTCCGATGTTTACCACGGAATAGGGAT